CGGCCTGGACTCCAGCCACAGGAGGTGGAGGAAGAGGTGCGTGGGGCGCATGCAGCGCGCGGGAGAAATGAAAGAATGAGCGGGAACAAACGACAGCAGATCGGAGCACAGAGCCAGAGCTGCCTCTCCCCGGGTTCAAGCACACACCTTTTCCTATGGGGCCGCCGGGGTTGTCTGTCCCCTGCAAACAGCGCCTGCCGCGGTGCTTTCCCTGCCGGTTCTGCTGCCGTCAGCGGCCATGAGGGGAGGCGGAGGCCTCGATCCAGAGGGGTCCCGGGCAAATGGAATTGACTCGTCCAGGTGTACACGTTACGTCTCGGGGAGTTGGCAGTTTTGGCAGAGGTTCAAAACAATTCCTGCCTCTCCAGTGGGGTGGAGGGCACACACGGGAAACAACAGCTCCTCTTCCGAGCCCAGGCCCCACTCTGGAGGGCACCGAGGTGAGGAGGCTGGTGGATGCCGAGAAGATACAGACTCAACAGTCAGAAAAATACAGGAAAAGCTGCAGGAACAGGATTTTGGTGGAAGCAGGGAGACAGAACTGCGAGGAGGTGAAGTTAGTATCAATGCAATTGGGCCTTGTTAAAATCCTTTGGTATGTGAGGACCATACTTGTAGGGTTAATGCGATCCCCAAAGTTGTGTGAGGGCTGAATTGAGCCCAACAAAGTGGCAGCAGATCCTGTGCAATTGCGAGCCCAGGAGCAGAGAAAACAGCAGCGCTCAGAAAGCGGCAGGAACTCTTTTAGCAGCGCCACAGCCAGGTCTGCAGCAGCGACTTTTGTGATGGTCAAGTTGCTTTTAAGGGAGGCAGAGAGATGGGAAAGCAGGGGTTTGTGGTGTTTCTATGTTGACAAAAAATGTAGATATAGTAAGTGTCCAGTAAAAATGGTGTGTTGGCCTCCAGGTGTTCTACCAAAAGCCCTTTTGGCTGGTCTGAACTGTAATTACCGCGATAGGATTTCCTCCTTCCACACTGCAAGAGCCGTATCAGCAGGGAGGACCTGAGACAATTTGCATTCATTCATTTACTGCAGAGATCGATTTTTCACCATTCTCACCGCACAGTGACCCCAGAGGCTCGTTTGGTTCAGCCCATCTCCCCACCCATCAGGATGCAGAAGCCGGCAGAGTGGCACAGCCAGGCTCCCTCCCAGCCAGCAGCTGGTCAAAGAAAAGCGGGACAAGCAGAATTTCCCCAGTGGTTCCACTGTATTGGTGCAGCCCTGGCGGCATCTGCTGTGTTTGTTTCGGGTACAGGCTCCTCCCCAGGGTTGTTCTGGCTCCTGCTAGGAGCGGGAATGGTGCATTCTTGTGCTGTGGATTTATGATCCCGATTCCCTCTCACTGTGCTCATTTTCTTTCTCAAAGCACATTCTGCAAAGCTTGGAGAAAACCCCAGACGTGACAATTGAAAGCAGCTCCTACAGCAGTTTCCTGCAGAAATCCTGCCGTGGCCTTCAGTTTACACGCCAGGCAATGTCATGTGGAAAAGATGGCTGTACCCTGACGGTGTCCCTTAAATCATAACAGAAGCCAACACATTTATAGCTCAGCCTGTGCATAGCATCTGGAGTCCCCTGCCCCCTCGTTGTCGTGCAGAGGGCTGTATCTCTGCAGAAGACCAGGGTGCTGGAACCTACATACGTTCCCACACCTGTCGGAATGCTTCTTATCTTTTTAAAACAACCTCAAATTGTACAGTGAGCCACACAGAGAGCGTTTATTTCAGCACACCATCTCAGAAATACAGTAAATGCCTCACTGGATCAGTCCTCCTGTTCTACTGTTCTGCTGCATCAAGTTTTCCATGTCTCTCTTATTACATTGGATCTTGTGATTCATGTTATCCCCCTCTTTCAACCAGGCTAAATTTGTCCAAGGTGGCCTGAGGCAAAAGAGCCGATCCCTGCACAGCTTCTCCTCCCACGCCGCGGACACTGTTTCTTTCTATGCTTTTGTATTTGCTACCTTCCTTTTTGCTGACCAGCTATGTACGCTACGGGAATGTTCCCAAATCCCCAAACCCTAATGGGATCATTCTCACGGAGTCCTAACCAAAACTCATCACCTATCTCTGACTCCTGCCAGATTCTGCAGTACTTACAGAGGTTGCCCGATCTCACCAGTCACCTGGTGCCCCTGGTTCAGTGAGTGACCTGGAGACCAGCAGCGGTTTCTTGGTGTAGCTCTCTGTTTCCTGTTCTTATTTACAGCTCAGTGGAATATGGCAGTATTCAGACTTTTTCTCTCCCCTCTCTCTCTCTCTCCTCCCTGCCATTCCCCCTACCCTCGGCCCAGCCCAATCCAAACCTGATGCAAAATTTTTGCAGGAATGTACTAATGAGCCTCAATTTTTGACCAGCTGCTGGTTTGTGCTTTGAAGGAGGAGCGCTACGTTCAGGATTAGTTAGCTGGGCCATACCTGAGGATTTACAGACCCAGCACAAAGAACGGGCTCTCAGTTACAGAGAAATGACAGAAGTGCACAGCCCGTGATCCCATCAGCACTGCGAGCTAACGCTGCTATTTGTTGCAGAAGTTGTAGCCATCAATGAGCAAGCACTTTGGGTGTGGCGGTGTGGCTGCGCCTGCTCCTCCAAAAGCTGGGGCGTTTTTGACGCTGGTAGCAGGTCCAACTGTACCTTTCAGATGCTAAACCCACAGACCTCAGGAATTTTGACAGGTGAGTGCTGGAGAGCTGAGCAAGACCCTGGCAGCTCTCTGATCAGATGCGCTGCGCCTGTGTGCAGCCCGCTGATTTCTGACATCCTCAGCGGGAGCACCCCCCTGCTTGCAAAGAAGGCAAAGCCAGCATCTCTTCTGCATAGCCCCCTGGAGCTGGAAAGCCAGAGTGACTAACGCTCTTCTAAGAAAAATAAGAGTCTTTCCAGAATTGTTCTCCTTTGGGATGATAAAAAGCAAGAAGAGGTCAGCCCAGAGAGTAACATCTCTGGGAAAGCTGTAAGCGCTGGGCTAATGGGTTCTTTGCACAGGCTAAATCACCCCCCGCCATGTCATTCTGCTGTCACCTTGGTTATCAGTGCCAGACACTGCCTGGTTGGCAGGAACCACCCTGCTGAGGTCAAGGGCGCCTTTTCTTTGTGCAAGGACTAATTATGTGAAAAGATGATGCAAGATCTGACCCTCTTCATTCAACTTCAATGCTTTATTAATAGCAGTGCTAATGCAGGAAGCCACCCTGTTTTACTCCACTAAGGAAATCAGTAGGACATGCTTGAGAGAAGACTCTGCGTATGGTCTCAGCTCAAAACTTCCCACTGCTAGAATAGTTTTTCATTTAATGTTATTGATGCAAGGAAATACCGTCAAAAGCCCAGGTGAAGGTCTTTATTGGTCTGTGCCAGGAAAACAAACAAGGAATGCTTTCTTACTCAAGCTTCTCCTAATAAGTAGAAGAGGAAAATTAGCTAATGAGGTCCAAAGCTAGTTGGGGAGGGGGTGGAGGGGGCTGGACTGGGGCTGCCACACCAAAATGTATGCTGGGTGGTTCCAGGACAACATTGCTGGCAGGCAGCCGGAGGGACGGCCCAAGGGAGAGAGAGGATTTTCCATTCTGGGTGCCCTGAAAAAAGTAATCATAATGTGCTTCCCTCTCCTTCACCATGCTCCGAGCTCAAATCACGGAGGGGAAGGGAAACTCACCTGGCTCATCTTCTGTCTCTAGGAGGCTGTGGGATCCTTGTCTGATCCATCAGAAGGGTTCACTGCTGCCTCTCCTGGGCTTTCTTCACGCAGAAGTTTAGCTAGTTCGCATGCAGCTGGGGCAGAGCAAGTGCCGTCAGCTGCACTTGGTCCAGCAGCTGTCCCACGGAAAGCAGCGCTAGCTGTCCCAGCAGGAGGATCTCCCTTTATCTCGCTGGCAGATGTCTCCTGATGTAGTGCCAGATCAGCCACTACCCTCTCTGTGCCCCTGTGGATGATCTGATGAGCAGCATAGATGTGTTTTCTTTGGGACTGCCTCACTGCGCAGAAAAAGGGGTAAGGCTTTTACTTGGAAATATACAGCAAAGCGTCCTCCGTAGGGGAGAAGGGAGGGAATAGCGTTTAGCCTTCCTGCAGCTGTGGAAAACCCTACCTCAGGAAAAAAAAAAAAAGAAATCACGCCCTGCTAACTTTGGCCGAAAGTGTTCTACTGCCACCTAATAGCAGCAACCAACTTCGCATTTCACTTTGAAGGCCAGCCCCCCAGCGGGAAGCAAAGCCAAAGCGTTTCCCTTTCCAGCTTAGGGCATAACTGCCCAGGACAAGTTATCAGGCTTTAAAATAACTTCTCCTTCAGTGCCTGTTAGTCGTAGCAGGCCTTTGGAAGCCTGGAGCTGAAACCTGCCCTCTCCTGTGTTAGGATTGTGCCCGCACTGAGAAACTCTTACCGAGTTCAAAGAAAGCCTTGGAGGCACTACAGACACATTAAGTCACCCACCTTATCGTCTCCCTTTTGCTGCTGCAGGGTTGTTCCTTACTGTGTTTTACAGTTTTCATCCAATCTCATTTGCATATATTTCCAACCCACCTCTTGGGAAGTAACTACCCAAGCCAGAGCATTCACCCTACAATTCTCTTCATTGCGCTTCACTGTTCTTTGTTCCCTCTTTCCCTCTCTAGACTTAAGATGCTGGTAAACAATCATGGGGAGTGAAATACTGTGTGCTTGTAAGGATGGTGTGGGGAATGTTGCAGGAACAAGCTGTGGCTCTTGTGTCACTTCCCTGCAGAAGTCCAAGACTTCCTTGTTGCTTTGGTCTGTTTATGTTGTAAGGCTGAGCTGTACTTTAACTGTGAATCTGAACCACTGGTGTCTTGCATACTGTCACACAGTTCTGCATCTGCCACTGACTCAGTTGCTCAATGTTACTAACCCTTCCTGTTTATGTTTATCCAACTCCCAGGTCTATTTTGTTGACAGTGAATGTAACAGGATCTCACTTGCATTTGAAACGCTGACCTTCACCAGCCAGCTCTCAATTCCAGGGAGAGCTTTCTCCACCCAAGGCATTTTGGCTTCAATCGTATATGCATGAACTGCAACAACTACACTGGGAATATTCCCCTGGTATTGCTGCAGTCCCTTCCTCCATCCACAGTGAATTCCATCTAAATGAAAGCAGGCTCAAACTGGTGAGTGATTGTCCTTTTAAAAACAGGTTTTTTTCATATCAGCACATTGACTTCTACTTCCAATGGGGGAAGGTTCAGAACTGAGGTGCAGAAGGGTTTCAGGATGAGCTGGTGTTGGAAAATCCCTGCTTTTATGCATGGGAATGTGACAAAAAGAGGAGAAAAAAATACGAAGAGAACAAAAGCCTAGGTAATGGCAAAACAGAGATGTTTAAGGGGAAGCTAAAGCATAGGCAAAGACTGAACTTGCAGGCCCTCAAATCTTTGTTCTATAAATGGGTTTACTCCTCTGGCAATCCAAACAACTGTGCTCTCTAATCACTTCCTCCTACTTTCAAGGAAGGTGTATGCTCAAACATGTGCCCGATTGCTAAAACACAGTTCTGTAACAAATAACCTGGCTCACTATAGGGAAAGCTTCAAAAGCTGCCACAGAAACGCAATACGCTGATGCACTCGTGAGATCTAACGCCATTCTTTGACACTATTTCCGTTGGATTCACATGGAATAGTTACTGATTCTGCTTCCCTGAAGGTATCACCGTGCAGGAGGTTTATGGCAGGATGTGTTCATCACAGCATACACCTGGTAGAATTCAGCTGTCTCTTAAGTGTACTGAGTACCCTCCACCCCATGCAGAAACGGCGGAAGAGAGTATAAGCCAGGTCTCTTCCTGACATTTGACATCTGCTGTCACATGAATATTGTGGCAAATTTCACCTGATCACATTTGAAGGAGCTCTTGTACTTCACCACCTATTGCTCTAGCTCTTCCACCAGCAACCCCTTTAATTTTTGTCTCAGTCTAGCTCTGCTTGCCAGGCAAACCCACTGTAGCTATTGCAGATTTTGAAGATTTTTTTTCCTCTGTTGCTTGGGAGTGCTTCTGAGGGGCTCTGTCCATCAGCTGCTGTTGCATTTAAGCCCAGTACATATTTTCTTCCTTGATGGTACCTCTGTATGCCCAGAATCCTAGGCCATCTCCAGGTCTTCTCTGTCTGTTCTCCTTTCTGAGATAGGCTAACCTGTGTGTGTGAGTGCCTAAGCTGCAGGCTTCACTGACTAAAATTACATCACCTGCTTCGGCAGGCTTGCAGAAGCAGGGCTAAGGAGAAGGGAGCTGATTTAAGCTTAAGCAGAATTGCCAGCTGCTGAATAGATACTGTTGTTGCGACAAATTGCAAACTAGAAAGAAAAAGTTTGCACAATTCAGAGACCACGAAAGGTGTTTGCAAGGTTTGTGTGTTTTCATTCACAAAACAACAACAAAAAAACCCCAGTGAAGTGCGTGCCTTTGTTCTCAAGTCAGAAAAGTACGCTGTGGCAAGGACCACTTCAGACTCTATTGTGATACAATTGCTTTTCTTAGGTTATAGCCACTTGCTAAGAGTGACTGGTTTAGTCATGGTCTTCTGAATGTGCTGGTCAGTGGAAACATCCCAGTTAAGAACAGCCATTTATTCATAATACTCAATGTGATACACAGGTTTCCATGACCTTCCTCTCTGTATTTTGACAGATACTATTCCATTTTGGCTAAACAGAAGCATCCTTTACAACTGCAAGATTATCTACATAAAACACGATGCCACCACAGTCAACCCTAAAACCTTATCTTTGCTTCTAGCTCGCAACCAGCTGGGGGGGGAGGTGGAAAGCATAGGAAAGCATATAATTTTCCTTTCACATATGGCATATATTTATGTAATCCGTCTGTTAAAGACTTCTACAGTTTTTAGACACTGCCATATAACAGACAATTCACAGCCACACTACCTAGAAGATTTTCCCAGTTTGTTTTTGAAGGTGCAACGGGCTGCTTCTTTTCATATAGTTTTGTTGTTGCAGATAGATACACCAAATTTCTATTAGGTCTGAATTCAGGCCACCATTTTAAAAAACTAAAACTCATAAGAAATTGGTGAAAAAGAGTCAGAAGGCTTAACTTTCTACCTGCAGAGTGCAGAAGAGGAATCTCAGAGAACTGAGAACTCTTGGCACTGCATCTTTCCTTTCAGTGAGCTAAAGTGAGGAGGGTGGACCAGTTCATGACGAGAATAAAGTTATGGACTCCTTACCTTTTTCTCTGGTAGACATTTTCTCAGCTTCTGGAATCAGGAAATCATAAACCAGCTCTGCTACAATCTCTTCTGACTGTAGGTGGGTTAGACTACAGAACAGATGCAGAGTGGTATTAGTATTTTAATTTAATTTTTAATTTCCTCTGCAAACACGAGACTTCTTTATAAATAGTCTCACTATTTTCAAGGGAGTGTATTGTCATGGCAGTAATTGTCAGCTGTGTCTCTCTTTATCCTAGAAATAGGTGACAGTGTGACTATTCTCCTTTGCCCTGCACTGCCAATGTGTCAATACTGCATTGGAAAGCAATATTTCCAGGGAGAAGATCACCCTAGACTCCTGAAGGTATTTAGGAGCCCGGTTCTTGCTGATGACAAACTGAGTTAGACACGCAGATACCTCTGAGGGTTTGTGTCTTTTGTCAATTTAGTCTTTGGCCCATTGCTGAGTTTGCTAAATTCTTCCCTTTTGTGACTCTGCATTTGGCCGGTCCCCATGCTCTTTTCCATGCCAGTGTTTGGTGGGTTCCCAATTGGCCCAGGGGCTGCATGCATTATCTACGCTTCATTCTCCCCAAGGATTTCAACATTCTGGTTGTATTCATCCAGTTACAAAATACACAGCTGCTGTACCATAGCAGAGTCACTGTGTCATTGGGATTTTTATGGCTCAATTCCAAAAAAAGAGCATAGAAACTGAACTGGGGGGTTGGCAGGTCCTAAAAAGTATTCACTGCTGATGCCCCAGCCAAACACAAGACTGTGGTGTTCTCAACAACTTACTCGACTCAAAGTGCCTTGTCAGGCAGCCATCAGTATGACTGACCCCCATGGAAATTGGCAGTTTCTTAAAGAACAGCCACTCCAGAATGAAAGGCAGCTGTATAGCTGTATCTTTTAGCATTTCTTTCAAAACGATTTTCTGTAGTAGTGTAAATAAGTGAAAAGACCTGTATGAATGGGTATTGCTTTAGGCAGTTCCCAGATTCACTTAAAGCTCAGTCACAGCATCACACTGGCATCGAGAAGTCTAAAAAGGGTGATTCACAGATTCCACAAGTGATTTGCAAAGGGAACCTGGCACATGCTGTATAGAAATAAGGCTCTGATGGATTTATATGCATGTACCAGGTGGTAACAGTGTGGTTCCCATACAGCATCGCACTAATGAAGCGATCACGAACGGTATTGCTCTGCCCTTCCCATGTCTCAGATTATACACGTAACCACAGATGCAGATGGTCAGGCAGGTCCTAAACTGCTGTAAACAGCCTCTAACGTGCTGTTTAATAACGTACCGACTTTCCATTTCGTAAGCGATGTCATTGATTTCTACAGCCATTCTCTGAACCTCTTCCCTGGCTTGTTCTTCAGCTGTGTTCTCCATGCTACTCAGGACAATGTCTTCCAAGTAGGAGTCAATAGTGCTCTGCTGCACTTTCACCACCTGGAACAAAACACCGAGGTATTGTTCCTCTGCCTGTTGCTGTGCCAGGAGTGTGGTGGAAGCAGATTTCCAAAGAAGCAAGAACAACAGATTTTCACCAGACTCTTCATTTCAGGCAGGCCAGCCTGAGATCTGGTTTCAGAGGTGCTTTCTGGGAAGAATAACTTGTGTAAAAATTGATTTTCTAATAATTCTATCTGAGAGCTGATTGAACAGAAACAAATGCAGGAAAGAACCAGTGGTGGAAGAAAGACTTATCTGTAGATCCAATCTGCTGCAGCAGGTTAGTTCTGTGAATGCAATGGCAGTTGCTTCCTCAATTCTCATGGTCCCCTGAGCAACAACTGCCAAGTAATAACCACTGACTTCAGTTAATTCATCAGCTTCCATTCAAACAAATCCTGAAGGAAAAGGTTCCATCAAGGCAGTCAAAGTGACATGAATAGCCAAGATAAAATTACTGGTTTCCTTACAATGGTTGTAGAGCAGAGATTCTAGAAATGGGTGTTTTCCTTCTGCTAGTCTGAAGGGCGTAAGCTTACGGCACTTTGACCCTCCTTGTGTCCTGCTCAGAGATGTAGAAAAGGTAAGAAAGAGAAGAAGCTAAAAATTAAAAGAAAAATAAACATGATGCCAGACTCTCTTGGTATTAACCTCCTCCCACAAAGTTTGAAAATTATTGGTTTAGTCAATTAGGCTCCCACTCATTCCTTTCAAGTGGGAGAAAAAAGCTTCATGAAGTCAGGAGCTAGGGAATAGGAATAGGACTACAGAATAGCTATGGAATATGGTGATTCATGATTTTTGTTTCTGGATTTCAAGGTTATTTTATTCATTATCATTACTTCAGAATAATTGCTGTACTTCTTGTTATTTGCAGTCCACTTTTGGGGGGCAAAATCTTTCCAAAACCTTGCTTAAAGGCATCCTTCCTGGGAGAGCTCATAATAGTTCTGCTGGATAGACCAAGTGCTGACAAAACATTATTCCTCAAGGTATCTCGGTACATCTGCTCTCCATATATGTTTGTTGTAAAAATTTAGAAACCTACATCCATTCATGATATGCCTAACAGGACTGTCTGTAGGGGTATTCAGATCACCCTTAATTTAACAGGCATGACTCTTCTAGGAAGGAATTGCCCTCTCTTCACTCAGCCTTCACCCTCAATTTTAAATCTAGCCATCACCAAAGTCAGAGCTGAAGCACCTCCCCTCCATCTGGACCTTTCCACAAGGAGGCAGTTCCTACAAACCACCCACAGTCCCACCAGTCTCCCTCTCTTGCCTGTTTGAAAATCTCATCCTCTTCCTGACGCCGCCTCTCTTCCACCTGACGACGTCCGCTCTCCTCCGCTTCCCGCATCCGCCTCTGCCTCTCAGCCAGCATCACAAAAGCATGGATCTTCCGTTCTTCTTGCAGCCTCACCAGCTCTTTGGACAGGAAATCGAATATGTTCGCCAGTGCCCTTCCTTCTTCCCTGGCCAAGTGGTTTTCCACTGATGACAGCTTTAAAAAAAAAAAAAAAAGTACAAAGAATTGTGTTACAAACCCCAGGAATGTTGTTCAAAGTCCCAGGACTACCACAGGCATGTGAAACAGCTCTGCCACATCCACTCAGACCAGCCATGGGACAACCCTAGGAGTTTTGGCATTCTTCTTGTTTTACATGCGCTGGCTTGGATCCTGCATAATGTAATGTTCCTGTATATAGGCTCTGATGGCATAAAGAGGCAAAACTAGTCAGGATGGGAATAGTCCTGATACTGTCAGACTAGGACAAGCAGCCCGTGTGCTTGGGTCGGAGGAGATCAAGCACTAGACGTGCTGTATTCCAGGTATTACGAACCGCTTTTGTGGCTGAGTATAATCAGAATAATTGCAGAGGCGATCTGCAACGCTCCACTGCCCAGACCAAGAAAGGGGAGGTATAAAAGTGACAATGAAATGACTTCAGCTGCATATCCTCCATCTTTCTGTGCTAAGCTTAGGTAGACCAGAACAGAAAAATAGGATCAAAAGTTGCAAATGAAGCTTCTTTCTAGCATTTGGAAAGTAACCCCTCAATCTTTATGAGCAGGAAGCTTGAGTAAAGACTTAGCAAACTGCAATTGTGAGTACAAACACATTTCTATACCCTTCTAAGGACACAAAATGTTTGTTACAGTTCAAAGCCACCTCAGTGGAATGGTATGTCTTTGGTTGCGCATTCATGATGCGACCAAAATGATTCAACTTGCTGAGCTAATACAGCAGCCGTGACTCCCTGCAGTTTTAAGTATTGAGTTATTACCTAAAACTGTACAAGTTACTAGCTGCTAACAACTTCAAATCAACAGTAATCATATTGAGTTTGCATAAGTGCAAACGAAACCTCAAAATTTCAGGTAATGGAAAATCAGAAAGTCTGTGACAGAGCTGAGACTAGATTCCAGGTGTTCAGTGTTACTGTGCCGTTCACTCCTTGTTCCAAGCACATCATGTTTTATGGGTTGGGTATGTGTGATTGCACTTTGGAAAGGGACGAGGTCTATGGTAAGTTCATTATCTCCAGCATGGACTATGAAGCCACAGTCCTTGGCAGGAGGGAATGTCTGGAACTGGCTGGGATGCTGTGTTTCTGTTGGAACAAACAGGCAACACCAGAGTAGACCCGAACATAAAACTCAAAATGGAGCCGAAATATCCTGGACAAGGAGCGATAAATCATCTTATAATGCTGTGCCATTTGCTCACGCAGTGTTTCAAAGAAAGTGGGATTGTCAGTGTTGCACACATCTAGAAGTAACAGCGCTTAGCCCATAGGTGTTTAAGATGGAGGAAGGCAACGCAGTAACTGCAGCAGCACACTGAGGGAGGGATAACTTGGAACTAATGTGCTGCTTCCTCTTTATTGCTCCAGGTGCTGTGTCTCAAACTGGTGTGAGATGGAGGAAAACAATTCAGGAATACTCTTGTCTTAGACTTCTGTTACATACGAGGTTGGAAATTTTCAACCCCTCATCTTTGACCATTTTATCTGGAGTTTCTGTCCTCTTTCTGCAGGGAACATTTCTTGAAAAATGCCTCTTTTTATACTGGAAAGGTCAAAACCGTGAAAAAAACTGTGAACATCAAAAACTACAGAACTGTGAGTCGTCAGTGACTTTCTAAAATAGCCACACACATAGAGAACTCCTGCACATGCATTCCAGAGAGTTTTAAAGTCAAGATGCTTGAAGACCTGAGCCTTGGACTGTATGCCTTCAGAGACATGCTAAAAAAAAAAAAAATGCAAGAGTATGGGAGATAGATACCAGCAGAGGGGGATAGTGGCTCTCCCAAAAGGAAATTCTGAGATCAGAGGTCAGCATCTCTACCATCTCTCCTTGCCTATGAATGTCATTATGGTGAGCTCTCTCCTTCGCTCTCACCTAGACTTCTAGAAGAGAAGGAGCATTTCAAGTTCCTAACACTTAAGGCTTTTATTTTTCTCTTAATGCCTCAGTAGAAAAAAAAGTCTGTGTTCCTGCATCCCACACCTGGGCTTCCCGTGTATGAGAGAGCATCTGGAAATGATAAACTTGTGTTTTATCAAAATGATAAACCACAGTCACACGGTTCAATTTTTACTGAGAGCTGAGGGGAAATTTTGTTGCTGCCCACCCAGCGGGAAGCAGTGGTCTGGCTTCATCTCCACCAGGCCAGCTGGCCAGCGGATGCTGTTATCATAATCTGGAACCTGCAGAATTGCCTCACAGCTGGTCACTGGGAAACAGGAGAGTAGTAAAAACTATAGGAAAACCTGCAGAAATGCGGGAGATGCTGTGTACCTGAGATGTGGTGAAGTCTGGACAAAATTTATTTATGATCCATTTCAGACCAGCATCTGTCATTTGATTCACTTTAGTCTGGAAGGTTGTGGCCCTCCAAGGAAATAGGATGGGAATTTCCATCCCCAGCTCTCACTAGATCCTCGGCAGAGGATGGAGCCCAAAATTTCTCTGCTCTCCATAACAGTGGCAAGTACACTAATGTGACACCATTGCTAAGGTCCTAGAAGTCTTGAGCCCAGCAAGATTTACAAAGTCCACTTTGGCTTCTTTTGTGCTGTTTTGTGCCTCAGGAGGAGCCTGAGAGGGTGCCAAGCTAGAAAGGGAACAGGGAAATGACAGAGCAGTAATATACATTCAGTAAAACATCTGACAGATGTGAGTGACAAGCATGTATTGTGATGCCGGGTCACAGCACCAGCCAAACAGATTGAAATGTGGGAAAATTGAGGTTTGTCTGACAGTGCAGTTTGTTCAAAGCCCTGTAAATATGTGTAAGTGCTCTGTCTGCAAACAAAGCAAGTGCAGCCTGGGTAGCAGCTGTGGTCAGGGCGCCTCAGTCTGTTTCTGAGATTCCCCAGAGCCCCCACAGCAGTGAAAGAGCAATTTTAGCCTCGCAGGCATTCAATGCTTGGCCTGTGCTAGGCGAGTAGTTTTGTTACTTGGGGTGCTTTCTGGGCTGTGGCTAATGGAAAACATAAAGAAATTAAATGCAAGAGTGTTGGTGGTACCGCAAGCACAGAGCGCTGGGTCAGGACAGTGTTGTGAATTAGCCTTCCCATCTATACGGGCAAACCTTGTGCATCTTCAAGTCATGCTGTTGCTGTAGAGCCAGTGTCATTTGCTCCTCTGCCTTCAAAAGCAGCTGTCCATCCTCCTGGAGTGCGTGAGTGGTGCGCAGCTCTCGGATCAGTTCCAGCCGCTTCTCCTTCCCTTCATACATCTTTAAAAGAAAGTTAAAACAACCAAGCATATTAAAAGGAGCATATAGGCCAACATGTTTTGCCAGCAGAGCACACCCTTTTTCTCCAAGTTGCAAGGCCAGCTGTTTCCAAGACCTAGTTCCCCGTAACGAATTTGTGGCTGCATTTAGGCAAACACTACAGCTGTCAGGTGAATCTTGCCTAAACTCTCCTGCATAGAAGACGAACGTTGAGACCTTCTGCTGTGGATGATCCCTTGCTACTTTATTACAAAATACATATTTTTTTAATTCTGCTTGTCTTCACCCAGAACTCAAACCACTGGCATGCAGAACAGCATCACCAATGTCAAGTGGAAAGGGCAATAGTCTTCTAGATATCCTTTTATATCAGCCTCAATATCAATGCTTCCAAGCGTGAGCTTTGCCCCATTTCCTCAGTTCAGGGTTAGATGTCTCCTGTTTCAACATCTACTGTTCTCTGACCTTCATCTTGAGGGAGACCAAATAGCTCAAATCAATAAATTGGTGCGGAGGTTGTTGAAACTACTGCGGTCCCTGATATGTGATTATGTGACCCAGCCCTCCCCTGACTCTTATTTCATTCCCCCTCTCTTCCAACAGGACCTCCAATAGCAACAAAGGATAATTCAGACCTGCTCATATCATTCTCCAACTGAGTCACACATTTCTGGTCCAGTAGTAGCTGGAAGGAGATTCCTAAAATGACAGGATGTTTCCAGACGTGCAAGTCAACAGTCCTGCAGTGGCATCAAACATCCTTCTCATAGATCCCCACAGAACTGGAGAAGACTTGGGAAGTCTATATTCCACCTCAAGCCATTTTCACAACATTGCATTGTTTGCTAAAGCTCAGGTCAGGGTCCCACATGGGAACACTTCACAAACATTAAGTCATAGAATCATAGAACCACAGAATGGTTTGCTTGGAAGAGACCTCAAAGACCATCCAGTTCCAACCCCCCTGCCATGGCAGGGACACCTCCCACTAGACCAGGTTGCTCAAGGCTCCATCCAACCTGGCCTTGAACACTGCCAGGGATGGCGCACCCAGAACTTCCTTAGGCACCGTGTTCCAGTGTTTCATCACCCTCAGGGTGAAAAACTTCCTTGTATCTT